TGGGGAAGGGACACCTGAGAGGGGGAAGGGACACCTGAGGGGAGAGAGGGGGAAGGGACACCCTGAGGGGGGGAAGGGGAAGGGACACCTGAGGGGAAGGGACACCCGAGGGGGAAGGGGACAATCTGAGGGGGGAGAGAGGTGGGGGGGAAGGGACACCTGAGGGAGAGAAGGGGAAGGGGACACCTGAGGGGAAGGGACACCTGAGGGAGAGAGGGGGGGAAGGGGACACCTGAGGGGGGGAAGGGGACCTGAGGGAGAGAGGGGAAGAGGACACCTGGGAGGGGGGAAGGGACACCTGAGGGGAAGGGGAATCTGAGGGAGAGATGGGGTGGGGACCTGAGGAGATGGGGAAGGGACACCTGAGGGGGGGGAAGGGGACACCTGGAGGGGAGAGATGGGGAGGGGGACACCTGGGAGGAGAGAGGGGAGGGGGGACACCTGAGGGAGAGAGGTGGGGGGAAGTGAACCTGAGGGAGAGATAGGGAAGGGGAACCTGAGGGAGATAGGGGGAAGGGGAACCTGAGGGAGAGATAGGGGAAGGGGAACCTGAGGGAGAGATGGGGGACCTGAGGGGTGAGAGAGATGGGGAAGGGGACACCTGAGGGAGAGATGGGGAGGGGGACATTGAGGGAGAGGGGAGGGGACACCTAAAGGAGGGGGGACCTGAGGGAGAGAGGGGGAAGGGGACCTGAGGGAGAGATGGGAGGGGGGAAACTGAGGGAGAGAGATGGGGGACTGAGGGAGAGATATGGGGAACTGAGGGAGAGATATGGGGGGGGAAGCTGAGGGAGAGATATGGGGGGGAAACTGAGGGAGAGATATGGGGGGGGAACTGAGGGACAGATATGGGGGGGGAAATGAGGGAGAGATATGGGGGGGGGAAATGAGGGAGGGATGGGGGAAAGAAAACAGTGGGGGGGGGAGAGAGGGGACAACATACACACAGCACCCCAGCCCTACACATATCACCCCACACAAACACACACACATCACACCACACAAACACATCACCCCACACACAAACACATCACCCCACACACAAACACATCACCGCACACACAAACACATCACCGCACACACAAACACATATACTGTACCCCTCAATGCAGTGTGTGTATTTAGCAGTCTGTGTGTGTGTACACTCAGCAGTCTGTGTGTGTGTGTACTCAGCAGCCTGTGTGTGTGTGTGTGTGTGTATGTATTTAGCAGTCTGTGTGTGTGTGTGTATTTAGCAGACTGTGTACTCAGCAGTCTGTGTGTATTCAGCAGTCTGCTAAATACACATACAGACAGACTGCCGAGCACACACACAAACTGCTTAATACACACACAGAGATGTTAATTAGTTCGGACAACTGTATGAGTTGTTTTTTCTAAACTTAAACCTCAATATTCAGGTTTAATTGCCGTTTTGGCACTTTGAGGGAAAAGAAAATTGGCATGTATTACGGCCAGGGCACTCGGGCTCAAAAAGGTTCGCCATCACTGGTTTAGGATAAGGTGGGCGTGCAAATCCAATGCTGCGAAGGAAGCGACACACCAAGATGTGTTTTCCTGCTGGATAGCCGCCCAAGCCATGGTGGCCCACAGAAATAGTCGATCAGTATAAATTTATCGTAAAATAGGTTAGGCCATGGTCAAACATTGAAGTGAGGAACCTCAACATGATTCACAGGTGCCGATATGGGATCCACATGTTGTTCCATACACCAACTATTGAATTCCAGGCATGCAGGTAGTACTTTTGTGTTCCTGGAGCTCATCCTCCTTCCAGGAGGTCCATAGTTGACTGTGGAACATTTGGGATAAAGCCAAGTCCCCAGAGAGGAGCCATGCCAGTAACCTGAGGTGCCCTTGTAATAGAAAGGAGTGTGAGGTCCAGCAAGAGGTCTGGTGAAGTAGGGAGTAATCTCGGATAGTCTATGGACATTTCCATTAGTGTGGGGAACCATGGTTGAGTCGGCCAGAAAGGAGATATGAGGATCAAGGAGGTCTGGCAACATCTGAGATGTAGTAGTGTCCACACTATCAGGGAGAAGGGAGGAAAAGCGTAATGATGAGTGTTTTGACACTGCTGAAGGAAAGCATCCGACGCCATGGCCTCCGGGTCTGATCTCCAACTGAAGTACTTCGGTAGTTAGGAGTTCTACTGTCATGCAAAGAAGTGGATATTCAGAGGGCCTCAGAGTGACTGTAGGTGGAGAAAATTGGCACAATTCAGATGCCAATCACTGGAAACCCGTAGGTATCTGGAGTTCCAATTTGCTACTATGTTGGCCATCCCGTGAATGTATTCCGCTTGAACCGAGATATTGTGATCCAGGCAGAATTGCCAAAATTCCTTCACCAGCTCTGCCAAAACCGTGGACCTTGTGCCTCCGAGATGGTTGATGTAGCGAACTGCTGAAACATTGTCCATACGTAGAAGGATGGAGCAGTTGATCGAAATCCCTAACAGGCTCTGAAGGGCAAACGAGCCTGCCAGTAATTTGAGGCAATTGATGTGTAACCCCTATTCGTTTGGGGACCATTTTTCTTTGGTGGAAATAGAACCACAGCGCGCGCCCCAACCAAGCATGCTTGCATCCGACCCCACTACCAAATCCAGGGCAGTCCCAAAGAATGCTCGTCCGTTCCACGCCTCCATGCCAGTGTCTGATGGATGCAGGTCGAGTTTGACCATCCAATCCCCCAGGTGGAGTAGGTCTCAGAGAGAGTGAATACCTTCCATCTTGAAATGGTGGTATGAGACAAATTTAGGGGGCGTAGATTGATGACCAGTCAGACACCCCCACCTTTCTTGAGTATGAGGAAGAGATTGCTTAGGAACCCTGGGGCATGTGAATGCATCTCTGAGATTGTGCCTTTGGTGGCTAGAGACTGTGTCTCAGCTGCTACTAAGGACCAGTCTTGTGAAGAAAAAAACAATTTGGTTGGGCAAACACATTTGTACAGGGTAATGTACGAAATCTATGGAATAACCCAGAACAGTTTGCAGCATTGTTCCACAACCTAGTTCTCATGGACCACCAACAGTCCAGGTTTAGTCAGTATCTCCATTGAAATAAAACAGGGAAATACATCAATCCTGGACAGTGGGTGGTCCCTGAGGACTAGGTTGGGTAACAGTGGTTTGCAGGACCCACAAGTCCAAAGTTAACATGCGCCAAGCATTTTCAAAATAACATAATCTGTTATTGAAGAAAGATGTGACGGAAGTGAACTTACTATAAGGGTGTCGGCCATAGGAATAACCTCTGGTTTCATGAGATTGCCAAGACCTGCCACGAACTGGGAAGAATGGTGAGGTGGTTTTAGGATCAGGACCTTGGAATCGGGAATGCATGGAACCTCGAGAACCCCGGTACGAGCTCCAGGAGGAGCGGCCGGGCAGATGGCCCCGATATCTGCCGGCCCTGCCAAAAACTCTTTGGGAGAATATCTTTTTCATATTGGCTTGTGCCTTATTGTGTGCTGTAAAAGTCCCCACATACATGCTCAGCTCCTTCCCAAAATTGTCCCCAAATAAGAGGCCTTTTGCCTGTGGCCCAGGCTCAGATATAGCCAAATTCATCAATTTTGGTTCAATCTTAATAAGGATTTCCTTACGTCTCTTGGTCACCAAAGCCATATTGGCATTGCCAAGCAAACAGATGGATCACTGGATCCAATCTCTGCAGGAGTACCACCTGCCAGGGCCGTTTCGACCATGTCAAACATCTTAGCACTGGGTCCAAGGACATCCAGTATTTTGCCTTGACAATTACGTAATGAAAAATCTAGGCCTTTCTAGCCCTTTCTTGCTTTCTAGATAGTCTGGCCTATCTATAACTGAACCACATAGCAAGCTTATTAGCGAAACTATCAGGGTCAGCCCAGACTATTTGGCTTATGCTCAGTGGGTCGCAATGGCCATGGGAGAGGAATTGGACGCACAGTGTACAATAACAGAGGATGTTGAGAGCAAAAGAGCTTACATTCTAGAGGGAGTGGAGTAAAGTGACACAAGAGGTAAGGGCAAGATGTATTTAATGTATGGGAAAAGTAAGCTCCTAGAATTGTTACAATAAAGGCTTTGTGTTTTAGGTGACACAATTGAAGTAGAGGAATCAAAGTGGTTACCAAGGTGCGGGACGGGAAAGCTATTAACAGTTTAATTGAAATGCTTTCCTAAAGTACTGAGTTTTCAGTTATTTATTTTGAAAGAATGGAAACTGGGTGAGAGTCTAACGCAGCACGGATGTCTTGAAGGTGAGCATCAGAGGAGCGACTATGAACAGATGATAGACACAGGTCTTCGGCAGAGCGTTGGGACCTGGATGGGGCATTCTTGTGAATTAGGGAGGATAGATAGATTGGAGCTGTGTTTTGTAGAAATTTGGAAGCAAGTATCAGAAATTGAGGCCTATATCTCACGGGAAGTCAGTGTAGGGACTGACAGAGGGATGAGGTGTGGGAGGTGCAGGCAGACAGGAAGATGAGGCTCGCAATCGCATTCATTATAGACTGTAACTGGGCAAACTGGGAATGCCACTGAGAAGCAGATTGCAGTAGTCAAGGCGAGAAAGGATATTGCGATTGATCAGCACCTTAGCAGCACCCAGAGTTAAGTGGGGTGGGTGTGTGCTATGTTTTAGATGGAAGCAGCATGACAATTCTGTGTTTCATTGGTTTTGTTTTTATTTTGTAATAAATTCTGGAATTTTTTTTTTTTTTTATATCTTATTTCCTTTGCAAGCCATAGGAAAATGAAAGGGCTCTACACCTGTTTTTTAGGATTCTGTACCAATACTTGGGTGTGCACATCTGATTTGGATATGTTTAATCATAAATTCTTAAATCTTCAAGGACACGTCTATAAAAGTTATATTTGTAATACAACTACATACCACTAGAGGGCATGAGACGTATGCAGCATTTACAAAAATACAACCATTGTGTGACATATATACTGATATAAATATATACATAGTGTAGAATGCATTAGCCTTATTAGGCATACTGCAATACTCTGGTATTTTGGCATCCTTTATTTGTATATATACATGTGTGTGTGTGTGTGTGTGTGTATATATACAAATAAAGGATGCCAAAATACCAGAGTATTGCAGTATAACTATAAATATAGTTAATACAATGTTAAACAAAAATCTGTACATCAATCAAGTAATACTACATAAAAGAATTCTGGGTGAGCATATGCAAATTAGTTTAACAAAGAATCACATTTTTGCCTCATTCCATTTTAAACATGGATTCTTTTGAGTCTGTGTTTAACATTGTATTAACTATCCACAGACTTCAGGTGGAAGTATTTTTTAATCATAATTTTTCCCCCCCACTATAACCTTTTTGGTTTTTGATATATATATATATATATATATATATATATATATATATATATATATATATATAAAATTCTTTTTAAAATTTATTATTTATTTATTTTTAACACAATGCATGTATACACATGGATAGATAGATAGATAGATTTATAGTGAATTCTGGCAAATTTTTGGTTGCTTTGTAGCCACTTTTAAATAGATAAATACCAACATTTTCCATGGAATGTTGCCTTTATTTTCAGCAGATCTGAATTGCCAGTGGTATATAATTCAGTTATTTAATTTTATTAAAGGAGCACTATAGGGTCAGGAACACAAACATATCTTTCTGACCCTACAGTGTTAAAATCACCATCTAGCCCACTTGGCCCTCTCTTGCCTCCCTAAATATAGTAAAATCTTACTTGTATTCAAGCCTGAAGCTGCTGGCTCTGCCCCTGTCTGCCTCAGAATAGCAAGCTGTTTTTTGACATCATCAGAAGTGTTGTTCTGAGCCAACCACAATGCTTACACATAGGGGCGTACCTAGAGCAGTTGGCACCCGGGGCGGATCCTGTGCTTGGCACCCCCCCAACCCAAAAAAAAAAAAAAAAACCTGTAAAAAATGTTAAAGGTTTTACAGGTCTTTTTTACAATTTGTAAACTTTGCAAAACTGCTGTCAGCCCCTCCTACAAAACCCTTGTCCTGCCCCGTCCCTCCTACAAAACCTCTGTCCTGCCCCTTCTACAAATCCTGTACTGCCCCGTCTACAAAACCCCCGCAACCCCCTTCCACAAATCCCCTGCTTATCCCCCCTTACAAAGACTCCTGTCCCAATGCAAACCCCCCGCCCCCTTCTACAAAATCCCTGCAGCCCCACACACACATTTACAGGCAGACAGTCACACACTCAGTTACAGACAGACAGTCACACACTCAGTTACAGGCAGACAGTCAAACACTCAGTTACAGGCAGACAGTCACACACAGTCACAGGCAGACAGTCACACATACACATTTCCTCCGTGCAGCCAGTTTATCAGCTGTTTGCTTGTGTGAGCTGTACTGGCCGCACGGCACCCTAACTACCATGGGACACTGTGTGGCCACAGCTCACACAGCCCCCTCCAGCCAGGGCCGGTGCAAGGATTTTTGCCGCCCTAGGCAAAAGTAAAGTTTGCCGCCCCCCATGTGACATCACAATGCCCCACCCATGTGATTTGCCATGTTAACTAACGCCAGTGCTGCAGTGCCGCCGTGTTTACATTAAAGGCCTGCAGGGACAGGCTATAGACACCAGAACCACTACATTAAGCTGAAGTGGTTCTGGGGACTATAGTGTTTCTTTAATGTGAGGTAAATTAGAGCTTAGTGCCACGAATAATATACTAGATTGCCTACTTACAACCAGATGAGGGATGATGATGGGCTCTAGCTGCAGTCTGGCTCCACTGGTCTGGTGCAGAACAGGCTCTCTGGAGGCGGTTTGTAACTGTGGTCACAAAAATCAATGTTCTGGGAGAACGGGAAGCAGCTCCATTTTTTGGGGTCCTTTACACAGCTCAAGGTCTGGGTCCCAGGGTCCACCTTCATGTTCCACCAATGAGTTTGTTCACAGGGGGTGGAGTGTGTAGGGGATGTCCTGATATGTGTGTAAGGAATGCATTGTGTGAATCTGTGTTTGTATGTGTAAGGGCTGCAAGGTGTGTTTCTGTGTATGTATGGGATGCATTGAGTGTGTGTAAGGGGTTCATTGAATGTGTGTAATGATTGCATTGTGTGTTTCTGTGTGTGTAAGGGATGCATTGTGTGTAACGGTTGCATTGCTTGTGTATGTGTGTCTGTGTGTGTAATGCATTGTGTTTTTCTGTGTGCAAGGGGTGCATTGTGTGTATGTGATGAATGTCAATCTCTCCTCCCGCTCCAATTTCCTTCTCCTCCTCCCAAATTTCTCTTTCTCACCCCCTCCTTTCTCTTTCTCATCCCCCCTTTCTCTTTCTCACCCTCTTTCTCACCCCCCCTCCTTTCTCTTTCTCACACCACCCTTCTCTTTCTCACCCCCCTTTCTCTTTCTCACCCCCCTCCTTTCTCTTTCTCACCCCATTTCTCTTTCTCACCCCCCCTCCCCTCCTTTCTCTCCCCCACCTTTCTCCTCTTTCTCACCCCTTTCTCTCCCCCTTCTCCTCTTTCTCACCCCCTTTCTCCTCTTTCTCACCCCCTTTCTCTCCCCCTTCTCCTCTTTCTCACCCCTCCTTTCTCTCTTTCTCACCCCACCCCCCCTTTCTTTTTCTCACCACCCCCCCTCCCCCCTCCCTCCCTGTAGCGTGGCCGAGCCCTGTATAGTCCGCGGGTACAGGGAGCATCTGTTTCCTGCACCCGGCAGGACTAACAGGAAGTGCACACTCAGTGTGCACTTCCTGTTAGTCCGGCCAGGTACAGGAGACAGCTGCTCTCTGTACCCGTCGGACCAGCATGCTGCAGGGCTCGGCCATGCTACAACTGAGGGAGTGCTGAGCGCTCCCTCCTGTCAGCCCCTCTCCTCAAGCTGCGCCCGGGCGGTGCGGTCCGCCCTCATGGACGCACCGCCCGGGCAAAGCTGCAGCCGCCTGAGGCTCTGTACAGAGCGCTCGGGCGGCTGCAGCAAGGGAGGGTGGGGGGGCGCCCCTGGCCATGGCACCCCCCATCCTGGTGGCACCCGGGGCGAATCGCCCCCCCCGCCTCCACCTTAGTACGCCACTGCTTACACATTGGATTTGCTGAGACTGTGAAGGAGGCAGATAAGGGGCAGAGCCAGCACAGTTCAAATACAGCCCTGGCCAATCAGCATCTCCTTATAGAGATGAATTGAATCAATGAATCTCTGTGAGGAAAGTTCAGTGTCTGCATGCAGAGGGAGGAGATACTGATATGTTGTGATGCACAATAGGCAAGACTGAGATAGGAAGCATCTCTAACAGCCATCTGAGGAATGGCCAGAGAAGTTATCACTAAGCTGTAATGTAAACACTGCATTTTCTCTGAAAAGACAGCGTTCTTTTACAGCACAAAGCCTAAAAGGTATGATTCTACTCATCAGAACAAATGTTACCCAAACTGCCACACTTTGAGCATAGTAAATACACCTTTGAGCTGTCATAGTTTATATTCTCAATGAATCTCTACTAATGAGACCATCACTTTTCTGGTAGTTTCCCCGTAGAATAAAATATTCAAATAACCTAGAACTTGCGTTATATTAAAAGAGTACAGGGTTGCTCGGGTTAAAACAGCTCTCTCACCTTCTGGCTGCTTGGGGTGCGGTGATCCTGGGACGCAGCAGAGGGTAGATATACTTACCTGATGCTGTCCCCTGCAGGTGCCGTCCTTTCTATTTTCAGCTCCTGGCGCTTCATCCATCAGGAGCCCATGTCAGTGCTGTACAATTGCGTGAGAATACAGCACTATTGTCTTTATTGGATGAGCAAGACAATGCCTCAGGAAGTGACAGAATTTGACATAGGTCACTCTGTCCATTGTTAAGCTCTGTCAAACTGAGGAAAATACATATGATAGAGCAGTCACTACCATGCCTCATTTGTTTTAGAAAAAGAGAAAACGATTGAAGAAAAAGAAAGGAAGAACAGATTAGGATTGAGGAAAAGAAGAGGAAGAGATTGAGGCAAGTTTAGAGTGATATTTTCCAACTTGTGTGTGCAGTATGCACTCTGAATGCACAATTTAGAGTTTCTCTTCCACTATTTGAGAGATATAGGTCATGGACTGTGTAAAGGCAGCCACGCAGATCCTGGTTCACTAAACAACAAACTGGGCTATATGGTTTCTAGTAGCAGATCAAAACTTTGGCTTCACATAGCCCAGTTCAACAATTAGAAAGGCACATTTCTCAGTATACCATTGGGTAATAAATATAAAAGAAACAAATTGAAACCAATGTGGCTTAGCAGTGAAGTAAAACAAGAGATAAAGGGCATTTAAGGCATTTAAATCTGACAAATCTGAGGCATCCTATATAAGATATAAGGAAGCCAATAATGCTTGCAAAACGGCAATTAAAGTGGCTAAACTAGAAAATTAGAAATTGATAGCCAAATAATGCAAAACCAACCCCAACATTTTTTTCCAAGTACATCAATTCTAAAAAAAAACTAAAAATGAACGTCTAGGTACACTGGAAACAGAGATGGGTCTGTTGGTTAATGAAGACCAGGAAAAGGCAGACATTTTAAGTTTTATTCAATATCTATTAATGAGGATCCTATGGCAAGAGATATGCAAATGATTGCTGCAAAAAACTTACAGATAACTTGTGACTGGATGACTCGAGACAAGGTGCTACAGCAGTTAAAGAAAATTAATGTTAATAAAGCTCCGGGACCTGGCCTTATTCATCCACGAGTACTTAAGGAGATAAGTGGGGAAATAAGTGAACCTCTGTATTTAATCTTTCAAGAATCTTTTGTTTCAGAAATTGTACTGGAGGATTGAAGGGAGGCAGATGTCGTTCCTTATTTAAAAAGGGTTCAAAATCCTTGCCTGAAAATTATAGACCTGTGAGCTTAATTTCTTTGACTGGGAAAATATCTGAAGGGCTATTCAGGGATAATATTCAGGAATTCATTGGGAAGAACTTTGTAATCGGCATGGTATGGTATAATCAACATGCTTTAATGCGTTCTGTTTTGGGACCGCCTCTATTTAACATATTTAGAAATGATCTTGAAATAGGCATTGAAAGCCATGTTTTAGTGTTTGCAGATGACACAAAACTTTGTAAAGTAATACGATGTGAG